CAGGTCTGGGCCTGTTTTCCACCCCCCCCCCCATGTGCACTGTGCCCCTGGAATAGCTGCGACCCGGTGCAGCTGGGGTCCCAGTCACCATGAATGGACCCCAGCCAGAATGTGTTGGGAGCATGGCCCATGGCCTCCCAGTCTGTGCACAGGCAAGGGTGGGGCAGCTGTGGGCTTTGCTTAGCCTCTACTCCCTGCCTCTGCTTTGACAACAGTGTGGCACCATGTGAGTCCCGGTACAGGGCGGGCTGGGCCGGGCACTGAGGCACAGGGAGCTGTGCCACACCGTGTTGTGGACAAAGCAAAGGCATGGAGCAGAGGCTGAGCGCAACCTGTAGCTGCCCAGCCCTTGCCCGTGCACAGACCGTGGGGCCATGCTCTCCTCTTGGCTCCCCTGTGCTGTGCCACTGGGGGAGCTGCAGGGCTATGATTGCCCCACAACCTGGCCTAGCCAGGACCCTGGTCACCATGATTGGGGCCCCAGCTCTGCCAGTTCATGGAGCAGTTAGAGTTCCATGGCTTGTCCAGGGGCACGCGAGGGAGCCAAGAGCTGGCATGTCCTGTCCCCCCCCCCTGCCCCCCCCCCCCGGTTCCTTCTGAATGTGGCCCAGTATGCCGCTTCACCCTGCACCACCTCCCTGGGCGGAGGCAGTTGGGGGCACAGCAGGACAGGGTGTGCTGTTGTGGGGCCGTGCAGTGAGAGTGACCGTTCCCCTCCCTCACTGCTGCCTCCTGCTCCCTGCCAGCGGTGGTCTGGGAGCATGCCTCCCAACAACGGGTGGTAGGGGGGGGAATGCAGCAGGGAGGGGGGGAGCGGGCATGGTGTGGTGTACCATGCCACGCAGCAGCGACCAGCAGCAGCGTGCCACAGAGTCATGCCCACGCGCTGTGGCAGGGAGTACCCCTCAGCAGGTAGTGCCCCATGGCCGGCAGTGCACCAGGCCATGTCCCTGACCTGCTCCCTGGCCCCTGACCGCTGCCTCCTGTCTGTCTGTCTGTCTGTAATGTTCAGGGCCAGCCAGTTGCCACCCACCCTATGGACCGTGCATGCACAGTTAGCCTAGAACGTTATGGACAGATAGACAGACTAAGACTTTTATTATATTAGAATTTTGTATATATTTTATATAACATTCAGTGGCTTGAATGATGATTATTTATACCCTGAATAATAAAACAGAATGTACCCTGTGTCGGTATACACTCTCTATATACTTAGCTTATTTTCCAACCACTAATCTGGTAAACATTAATCAACCTTCCATATATATATGAATACATGCAAGCACTTAAATCCTTGGATTACTTTATTGCACTACTAGAAACAAGATTCATTGGGCTCTTGATGACTTTTCTCATTTTATTCTACAGAAATTAATATCTGTTATTGCTGCAATAAATATGAATGACTAGGCAATATTTTGTAATGAAGAGTATAACATTATCAGGACTTTATTTTTTAAATCACAGTAATAACAAAACCTCTCTGTGTAATTCATAACGAAGCAGACTTTGATATTAGAGTCTTTTAGGAAATAATTTTATTTAATGCAGGCTTCTACTGGACTATCTTGTGTTCACTTACAAGAAAAGGAAAGAAATTGTATTGGTCAAAATTATAAATAATAGGAAAACCAAGCCATAAGATTTGTTGTTTGTGCTTTTAATAGTAAATTTATCTGAATTCTGATGTCTTCTGTGATTGTATTTGAGTAATGGCCTAGTTCTACAGTATGTTACTGAGTTGTATATTTTAGTCTATGGTTAGTCTTTCCAAGTTACCACAGAAAATATAATTTTAGGAGGCAGATTTTTAACATGAAAGTTTTAATAAAAACAAAGCAAAAATTGTTTAAGCTTTTGCTGATCTCTGCTTTGAGCTTCACATGGTGCCAGGCTCTTTCATCTTTTGAAGTGCTCAGAACTCTTTACCAAAAGGAAGGTAAAATGTTAAGTTTTCTCTGCTGGGCAAAAATCTATGCGGGGTAAAAAAAAATTTGATATTTTATCAGGGTTGCAAACTTCTTTCACTGACAAGCTGCACATATTTAATGACACAGAATTTTTTTTACTGACATTTTTTCTTTCGCTTAAAAAAATATCTTGGATTTGCAGTCCTGTGCGACTGCAGCAGTGGTCTTACCCTATGCTGCCCCCTGCAACCCTAGTTGCACTCTTCACTGTGTTGCCTCTCCCAGCCCACCCCACAGCCTGGCCCTTGCTGACCCTGTTCCCTCTGTCCTAGCATGGACCCTTCATCCACTGCCTCTCCTCCTCCTGGTCTGCACCTCTATCCTGACCCCCTCCCCCCCGTACTTTCAGTGGGTGTGTTCTTTTTTACGGAGTGTCTGTAAATTTGCAGATAGTTGCCAATCCTGTATTTCACTGAATTTGCAACTAGCCCATCTCTAAGTTTTCTGTTCACCTTCATCCAAGATCACACACTTCTTACAAACTTAAGTTTTATAACAAACTTACATAAAACTAACATTTTATAAGAAAATTAGGAAATTCATAAACAAAGAAGTAAAGTGTTTGGTTGGCAAATGGTTGAACAAATTTGAATGAGAAATATATGAGCTGCAAATCTTGGTTTATCACGGAGAATAACAGAGAGTGGGAACTTGGAGACAACATTGTGTTATGTTAAGTGGAGCAAAAGTAAAAGCACACCAGATCAGCAGTCGTTAGCTAAGCTTCAGCTCTCCAAGGTCTCATTGTGGTTTAATGGATAAAACACATTCTCCAGGTAGCAACAGGGTAGTTTCTTGGTGACAAAAATAGAATTTTAGGATACACTATTATATGGTTGTCTTAATTTAGTTACACATTTGGGATGAAACCAATCCAAAAGCTTCCGATCAGTTTATTTGAACTCCTGATTCCATAGTATAGTAGTATAGCAGGGGTTTCCAACATTTTTAAAGAATTGTACCCCTGTTGGTGGCCGGGGGGCAGGGGGAAGCTTGCACACAGTGGCGACCACCACCACCCACTGTGTGCAGCTTTGCAGGCTGCTGACAGGCCTCGCACCTGGCCAATTGCACGGAGCCCATCAGCAGCCCACGGAGCCGCATGGGCCGTGGGAAGATGGTGTGCGGCAGTGGTGTGGGGTGGTGGGTGGCGGTGCTCCATCTCTGCTCACCTGTGCATACCCCCTAGGACCTTTCCAAGCACCCCTAGGGGTACGCATACCCCCAGTTGACAACCCCTATAGTATAGAAATTGTCACAATGTCCATATTTTTAAAGTACCATCTAGATATAAGTTACTGATTAGCATAATCCTACACAGTAGATTTAGCGCACTACTAGTGTTTTCTTTGTTGCTTAGAAGCTGTGTGAAAATACTACATTAATGAGGATGAATTTAACCACAAGCCCAAATTTTTTAGCCTTAAAAGAAAAATGAGTTTTTTTCTTTCCCACAACGCTACACGTGCAAAGCACAAAATTCTTTTGTCTTAACTTGAAACTCACAGAAGTTTTATCTGGATTCAGCAGCTCAGGAAGTAATAGCCTGTCATGTAGGTACAGTGACTGCACTTGAGGTGATCATGAAATGTATAGGAAAAAGCAAAAGTTGTCCCACACTATTGCTGTATTGTCCAGAAAGGCTTAAAATATTCCTTTGTTTGTGGCAACTTGGAAGCTTTCCCAAATGAATGCCATCAACTTGTAAAGAAGTAAGTTTTTTTTAAAAAA